ACGAGGCTAGGCGCAAAACCTTCCTTGTGTAAATGAGTTTTATTTGCATGAGGATAAAAAATCGTTTTCAGATCAATAGCTTCGCACTTAGCCTCGCTTTTACGGACGAATTGCCTATTGCAAAACAATTTCTCCTAAAGAGGAGCCTGGCATAATATGAGCACAGCTACTGATAAGGCATATTATAAATGGCTCAAAAGCCAATCCCATGCTTCATTAACCTTAATAAAACAATCTAAAATGTTGCGACGCAGTGGCGTAACCGGCGGTGGTTTACTCGAAAAAAGTCTTTAGACGAGATCTAGAATACGTATTTTTGAATAGGAAGTTGTCTACAAGAAGAACATGGAGGTCAGATGAGAACAGGCGCTCCGTATAAAAACATTTCCTTGTTTCGAAAAGAAAACATATGCAAATATATGGTGTGCTTATAGTAAAGTATTTATACTCAATACTCCTATTTGATCAACAAAGACCTCACCACAAAAATATTTATAGAACCAGGGTCTCAGATGTAGTCTTTCAGGACGTTTTGGTGTACCGAACAGGTTTTTCCCGTTAGGCTGTATTTGGCACGCTGAACGTTGACACTGATCATCAAAATTCAAAGACTTCCTTATGGAAGTCAAACGTATCACCTCCACTTGAGAACGTGGCGCACAATTTCTCGGCTGAGTTCACCAGTGATGTTGGGCCACAGGTCAGTACCGCCACTTTAGTCTCACCCATCTCACTGGCATAGCCTTTCATCTTAGAGAATAGTTTTGGCAATTCAGGACGACCGAATTTCAGATCTGGTTGCATTTCTGGACGGATGTTGGCTTCTTCAAACTTGGACGAATCTCTCTCTCTGGTGAGATGGAAATAGTTTTCCATTACCTCTTGAGGCTGTCCCCGTACGACCAGATCGGGGCAGAAGGAGATTGGTAGTCTGAGATTCGTGTTCTTTTGGAAGTACTCCTTATCGTAATCAAGAACTGAGGTCACCATAAACAGGTCACGAACGGACCAGATAAACATAACCTTTAAACCGACAAACAAAACCACTGTCAGATATGCATTCCTATGTCACAGATCATTCATAAGAATCACTACATTCTCAAAGAGCATTTTAATTGACAAATGATAATACAGACGCCAAGCTAACGACATAGACTCACAGAAATTAGCAAAAAATGTCAAGCAATGCTAGCCCTCCGACTAAGCTTTCGTTTGAACTCACCCTTGTAATAAAATTTAAGAGCTGGCTTTTCCAGTGCTAGACCCTCGCCAGGACCAAACCTAGCCAGTACAGTTTTTTTAGAAATGTGAGAAATTAACCCTTTAATGAAACAATTTGTCTGGTCTTTGTTGACAAAGTAAATTTGCCTTCGGGCGCACTGAAACAATACACTCCTTCGTTCCTCCTATTCTCTTCATTAACCAAGTCTTATGTGGGAAGACTCCACCCAGGGGTTCAACCCCTTATCTTACCCTTGTATATACCATTTGTGACAGAAAAGGCACCCGTTTCGTACACCTATTGACAAATGGTACCCCTTTCACATACCCAGTTTAATACTTTACATCCCTTTAAACTGCAGTAAATGCACTGTGTTTTAAATATGAATAAATCACAAAACTAGAATTTTTGTGACCGTTTTCGCAGACATAAAACGCAACTGTTAGCCATTTAATTTTGGGCCTTTTTACAGGCCGAAATGACACATTTCCCTACTCTTCCATATAATTCAGCTGGTGAAATCCTTACCCTTTCATGTACTTGAAGCCTGAAAGCTACCCGCAACTGATAAAGGCAATTTTATGAAAGTAAACCCCTGGGTGTTTGACCCCAATGACAATGCATCGCCAGTTTTCTTAGAGACGATCTACTTTATGCTTGACATAATGTGACGAAACCCTTTGAATCAATTACCCTTTTGATATCTCTCCCTCTTTTGCGCTGATGCAGTATATCGTTGCAGATGGATTGCATGGGAGTGATGCCAATACCACCACTTATAAACATAAACATCTTGTAACGATCACCGTCGACGTCAAGACACGGAGTTCCGTAAGGCCCATCCAGGTAAACTTTGATTTGTCTTGTCTGGTCCACATAGTCATAGAGTCGCTGGGTCCAGTCACCCAGAACTCGAATATGTAGCGAGACCATATTTTCGTGGGGTGAAGAGGACAAGCGAAATGGATGCCACTCGAACAGGGACACGCCCGGGACACATATAAAGCAGTATTGACCTGATTTGTACTTAAAATCCCTCTTAAGAAACGTGAGGACGGACCACGTTGGATGGCAAACGCACTGCTAGAATACTTCGCTGGTGCTTGTTGTTTAAAAATGACATGAGCAGCCTGACTAATATGTCAAACAACCATAGAGCAGCTCCAAACGCAATCCCTCCAGCGCCGTGTATGAAAGCAGACCCAATTACAACCAGGAATAGAATCCAGTGGAAGCGATAAAAAGCTTCAAAGATACGCCGACGGATAAACCACAGGGAGAATAAACATAGAGCAGCCATGGTGCCGGTGAGGACTAGCCCAGATGCATCCCATTCATCTGACTAGAAGCCATGCCAAGCTCCAACCAGGACACTAAGATAAGCGCACAGCTTATGCCAAAAGAGCGCTCTTTCAAATGGCAAGCCAGTGAAGAGAGCCCACACAGAATTTCTGCACGCAAAAGCGAAAGTCAGAGCTGCTGGAATGATCGCTATACTTCCAGTGCCCTCGGCTGCATCCTCGCCTTTCTGCATGCCAGAAGCCGCCAGAGCTCCAGCAAGACCTCCAACTAGCAGAAGAAAACACAGAATTTCGCCAAGTACTATGCCGAACACAAGCCGAGTGTGGAAGATCTGAAGTCTCTGCCAGCGGCAATGATAGTAGAGTGGCCAAGGCACCAATTGATTTAACACCGGTGATTCGTATTTGGAACTTTCATATGGCTTCCATCGTTTGACATCTTCTCCACGCTCAACGCCTTCGATGCTTAGCGGCTCGGCTCGATTATATACAGGTTCTGTTTGTTGTTGCTCGCCACTGTTGATAATTATCGCTTCAACAGCTGCTGGCTTATCTTGCAGAGGTTTTGATGGAGACCTGGTAAGAATCTCCCATGTTCCAGCTTCAACTGAACGTCTTTAACAAGACACACTAGTTTATATGTGTGTTACTATCATTGATGCGGTAGATGCGCCTACCAGTAAATAAATTCTTAACGGATTTAGTCACTCGCTCGCGCAGTTCGACGCCATTGTTTTGCTGCTTTGCTAAGAAAAACACAACGCGGACATTTCAAAAAACCACGCAAAACACACGTACGCCTCATTTCGCTATACTTGCGGATTAAAATGATTTAAAAAGAGCATGATAGGCAATACAAATAGTTCAAAACCTCAAAACCACGACAAATCTGCGACGAAGAAGATAGAAAATTTGAAGAAAGCTAATTTGCATGTTAGAGGAAAAGAAACTTTATGCAAATCAAGGTGGAGAAAAAATCCTATTCTTTTAATAACTTAAACAAATTACAGGGAAAGAAGTATTCTTATTACAATTTAGCGACATGTGTCCGAGGTTCACAGCGATTAATACTATCAGTATTCTGAAATATTCAGGTTACGTCTGAAACGTCAAAATTTTTTTGGTCGCTTGCACGCAATCTTTATTCCAAAAAAAAAAAGACTAAGGAATCATTCTGATGGATGACTCAGTTTATTATGTGATTTTTAACGACCGATTAGAACAGAGAGAAATTGTCAAAGTTCACTTATATGATTTCTCTTTCCACCCACCTCCTGCCCCACGAATTTATATACAAATCCAACCAGCCTATTTCATCAGTGGCTTGTGACGAGTGAAACTATTTAATTCGTTGAAGTCCCTTTGAAGCGTCGTGGACTAACGGTTGTCTATGTTCAAGATCAACTGCCATATTGGATTGTGCGGACGCTGGTGAACACAGGGAAATTCAAAGCATAAGAACTCTACATAGACTGAAATTCTAACTGGCTCAAACACTTGTTAGAAGTCGGTTAACGTTACCGGATAATCATGTGATTGTCGCAGGCTAATGTCATAAATACAGTTACGCTACCGTAAAATTCCCAAAATAAGCCCCGGGGCTTATATTTTTCAAAGGCCCTTTTTGAGGGACATATATTCGGAGGGGCTTATCTACGGAGGGAAATTTGCGTTTCGAAATCGATTGGGCTAGCCTTATAGTTGGAAGTGCAGTTTACCGTTTTTGCTTTGTTTTACTTTGTATTTGAGGGCAATTTTCCAAGTACAAGCCCCCGGGAGGCTTATATTTGGAGGGGCGATTTAACGGCGAGTTTTTTACGTTACCGGTTTGGGGGGCTTAAATTATGGGGCTTATTTTCGAATTTTACGGCATGTTAATAATATGATTACTTTTGTAATATTTCTGGTCCCATTTGGTCCCAACGTAAACCTTAACCTCCGTGCAAACGGACGCAACATTGTTGGCCAACAACTCTCAGCTTTGTTGGATGTTACATGTTGCGTCCGTCTGCAGACGCTGTTGCATGTTGTTGCGTGTTGTTGTGAGTTGTTGCGCAAAGTTTTGAAACTGGTCAAACCTTTAGCTACGTGCAAACGGACGCAACAACTCTCAACATGGTTGGGTCGAGCAACGTTGGGATCGATTTGCGGTGGCTTTAAACCATGCGACGGTCACGGTCTAGAAGAACGCGTTTAAAACAAAGGAATAAAAAGGTTTTAAAGCAAAAAGCAACCATTGGAGCTCATTGGCAAATGTATAAAAAGAAGACGGTGTTAAAATCACAATCTCGTTATCCATTGTCAAGATTTAACCCACATGCACCACAAGATAATTTTGCTTAGGTTAGAGTACAGTTACCCCTGGTGCTAGTCTGCTACACAGCCGTTTTTAGTGTCGTCACGCTCCCAGCACCCCAGAAGAAGGAGCATTGCGTGACGACACTACAAACGGCAGTGTAGTAGACTACCCCGGTGCCAGAGTTTTTTCTCAAATCCTTGGGTACGGTTTATTTGGGGATTCTACGTTTCTGGGAAACTACCTATCTACCCCTCCCTTAAGCCAACATTAACACTCATTTCTCACTTAGGGCAAAATTTTGGCTTAGGGGAGGGGTAGTTGGACAGTTAATGATCTGTTTTTTTCTTCCCAGGTCTTTCGAGAACGGACATCTGGAGGTAGGTTAGAGTACAGTGGAAAAACTGTCATGAACATGTGCGAAGGGACTCAGACACGCTGAGAAGGAGTACATGAAGTCAGTAGTTTTTGTCAAAAGTAGTTTTAATCTCCCCTAAAGTCTTTCCTATAACAATGAAATCTATGGTGAAATCGCCGACCCCATACAAAGCCGACACCCCAGCGAGGGTCCCCTTAGCCTGCGTGGCAAGCGTTTCCGCGCGAGTTCTTCGAGAAAGTTGGGACGAGAGCAAAAAAGGGAATGACGGGGGAGGGGGAGGGGAGAGAAGGAAACGCTTGCCCGCAAACCCCACGATTTTGAAAAACTGCGTTTGCCCACGAACACGGCTTTTGATTGGTGCGGTGCTGGTAGTGTTGATTAAATAGCAATCAATACATCAATCAAACCAGGTATGTTTTGTTTACGTACGTCGCAGATCCGGTTTGATGTGATTTGTGGTCGCAGATTACAAATGCTTTGGTCTGATATTTATTTGAATCGTGTCTGCGAAGGTTTATCATGATCAGATCTGAGTCCCTTCAAAGTATAATTGGAGATCGAGCAGTGGAGACTAGTGAAAGCCAATTTATTGGGAATGACGGCGTGCGTATCTGATTGGAAAAAATGGACTGTTTGTTGGAGATAACATCAACGTAAATCAGAACATCGGTACTCGACACTAGCTAGAGCCGCCAAGGACAAGTGATTTGTCAACTTTTTGAAATGAAAAGATTCTTTTTGTTTATTGGAAATTTAGCATTTATTGTAGAGAACGTTTCGACACTGGATGGCCTATGGAGAGTAGCCGCTCTGCAAAATAAACTCATAGCCGGCGGAGTGAATTGTTCCGGGTAGATCATTTCTTTGCGACGTTTTGACAAGGTTTCAGATGAGATAAAACCACATATAACGTTCAAAATTTAACTTAACTATAAAGAACAAGGAACCTTCTTTTTTTTGTAACGCTTCTTTTTATTTCAGTTTTGCAATAGCGTGGAGCGTATTTTAGAGAGCAAAGTAAATTTTCAAACTTGGTAATCTGTTCGTTATCTATCTTGACGAGCTGTCAATTTACAAATGAACCGAACCGTGAAATATCAAGGGAAGTTTTTCAGAATCGTGGGGTTTGCGGGCAAGCGTTTCCTCTTCTCCCCTCCCCTTCCCCCTTCCATTTTTTTTGCTCCCGCTCTAACTTTCGCGCAACGACTTGATTGGAAACGCTTGCTACGCAGGCTAGGGTCCCGTTCAAAGACCGCTTAAGAAGTTTTAAGGGGCTTTGGCATCGACGACGGCAACGGCAGCGAAAACGTCTCACTTTTAAAATAAATTCCCGTTTTTTCAAGCTTTGTCGCGTTTATTCCAATTTTCTGAAAATGGCAAATGTAGGCGAATTTCCCTGAAGTTGATTTCTTGAGGAGCACACTCTGAGTTTAGAGAGAGAAAAAGAAGTTCGTCGTCGCTTGTTTACGTCCTCCATGATACTAGCTATTAGGCATTTTCACGGTCGTAGTCGTGCAAGGACGATAAAGAAATGTACAAAAAAGTGTGATGCACGTGCAAAGTCGTTGTTTTGCGTGATAAACCTATTGCTTTTTTGACGTCCTCGTTCCCGTCGCCGTCGTCGTTGCTAAAGCTCCCACGGAAGCCGTCAATGATATTTCGGTCATCATACGACATGTTAATTTGCCATGAATTTAGATGAAAAATAACAAAGAAAGGTGCCAGTCTTCCGTGCTTGAGTAACCTTAAAAATCTCCAGTTTCCTTTAATGTTTTTTATGGGTCGTTGGCGTCTAAAATTAGACACAAAATATGTTTCTAAACGTTTGTTTTTTTTTTCGAAATTGGTACATCGCGGAAAAATAATGCAAAAACAGGACGTGATGCTGCAAATGTAAACTTTGTTTTGTTCTTATAAAAACAAAAGGCAAATATCACGCTGCTAAGTAATAGCCTTT